CTCTGCTGGGAGGTGTCCCTGCCCAGGGCAGGGCTTGGGACTAGATGATCTGAAAGGTCCATTCCAACCCCTAAAGTTCTATGATTCTATGATATCCAACTCAAAGTGCTTAGGCATCCTCTCAAACAAATTTCAATGTATGCAATTAATGTGTAAGGTGAGGCAAGAGAAGTGAAAGTTTGAGATCTTTTAAAGTGTTTGAAAGAGATGAAAGAGCTGACAAAATTAAGATCTACATCACAGAAGATGAGGGCACATCTATTGGTACATAATAAACTCCCTAAAATTACACTGTGCTTTAAAAATATTTCGCAAAATCAGGTAAGATGGTATGCTATTTTACAGAAGAGTCACTTATAAAAAGGGTAAGTGACTGATAAACATACTACAGGGAAAGTTTGTTTCACTGTCCTAAATTACCTCATGATACTTTCTATAAATCAGCAAACTAAACCAGCAGCAATGAACAACGCAAGATCTACCCCACTGGAGATGAAAACTATTACATTACTCAGACACTACATGTATACAACATATACACGTTTTTTCCCCAAATGATTTTGCTTTATGAACAACTTCTAATTTTAAAAGAATGAAAGGTAATTCACAATGGTCAAAGACAACAAATATGCCCATTTTTTCCCCTGCCCTAATAACAAGGGACACAGGACTGAAATGCTGACCACTGCCTCATTAGCAGGTGTGCAGAGGGCAGCCCAAAGCCTTCTGTCCCCCATTCAACATACTATATCCAGAGATATATTTGGCCTTTCTGCTCACAGAAACCAATCCATTCCCCAAAGTTCTGGCTGAGACAGCTGAAGCACTCAGGAAAGAGGCATTCAGTAAAGAATTACTTCATTGTTATTCTGCACAGGCATTAAAGGAAAGCCTGGTGGAAGTTCCTTTCTGCATCTTTTAGATATCCCCTATTGTAAATTCAGGATGTCTTTATAATCTTGCAAGGATGCCAAAGTTCTTTAAATAATTTTCTTTACTGTTTCCAAACTTCCATTTCACATATTTTTATTTTCTCCCTCCTTCTCAGCTATTTAAAAGCTTGTTACTCAAAAATGTTTAAATGTCACTCCCCTGCAGTACAAAATATAGGGTTGCAATAAAGTTCTCAGTGTCAGCCCAAGATTTTAATTTTGCATTGGAAACATTCTCTCTAACACAATTTTTCCCCTCATCAGATTAGTTCACTGCCAGAGACAGCTGCTCGCTACAGCACACATGGCTTTGGTACATCCAATTTCAAACTGCTCCAAGATTTCATTAATAAACATTCACAGAGGCTGCTGCTTGATATGCTCAGCTATGCTCCTATAGCCAGCTGATCATTAAAAAACATCCAAGTGGCTGTCTTTAATAAATGAATGAAAAACATGATTTTCCTTTGCTTTAAATATCATTCAACATAATTTTGCCTAAGAATACATAGAACAGGATACGCAAGAATTGAGTCCTTTGTACACTGTCACCACTTCTGCAGGGGCTCCTAACCATCTAAGGTTCTTTTATCAGTCTCACCCTTCGATGATAAGCACCTAAAAAGTTCTTTGGTATTAAGTGGAATTTTTTAAGAGGTTTTATTCTTTAAACTCTTCCCGTAAGGAAAAAAACGCACACAAAGGAACTTCCCCATGCTATCCATTAATACAAAGGTCTGCTCTGAATGTAACACAACTGTGGAAATACCAAGGCCATGGCTCACTGCTTAAAAAGCAGACCTAGCATATTGTCAAATGTAGAGTAAAAGCACAATCAAAAGAACAGACATCAAGGCATCATTTATCGTCACTGGAAATGTTCAAGCCATCTCTGTATCATCTACTAAACTACAAGTTTGTTGGTGTTTTTTCCTCTTTTCAAAAACCCTAATTCATTTCCTAGTACCTACCTAAAAATACTTAACACAACTAAAATAAGGAATATTCTCAAAACTTTGCATTAAATTGAAAACCAAGATCATTCAGGATACATCAATAAAATGAAGAAAGGGATCATTCATCCCTCTTTATTGCATGCAGACTGTCCAGCACTGGGAGTTGGATACAACAGACCGTTTTCAGTTCTCAAGCTAGAAACAGGAATGCTGCAGACGTCAACAGAGATTCGCCAGCTTAAAACTGGCAGATCAGATTGAGACACAGAATTTCAGTCTTTCATTCAGTTTCCCTGAGGTGGCACTTTGACTGTGACCATAGTCATCTGTTTAGACACAGTTTTGTTACCTACTGGCCAAGATCACTTAATCATTCCACTAATAACTTGTGTAACAGTATGATCAGAGCATCTATGTTCACTTTAAATAAAGTTAGAAGGAAATCAAGAAAGGAATGTATGACAGGCGTACTGAGACTAACTTCCTGGCAGCAATATCTTACATTCTGTTGAGTTAGCAATGAAAGATAAAGCTCTTGCTACGCATAAAACCAAGGCAGGCTATGTACTAGAAAAATAAACTCCATGGAGCAGCGTTACCCTGGCTTCAGGGAGGCTTAATAACCTTTTCACCTGCACAGAGATTATTGAGGAGACAAAACCAGGCTCTTCATGGTGGCATGTAGCAGGAGGACAAGACAGAACCAGCATAGACTGAAACAAGTGAAGTTCAGCCTCAGTGTAAAGGAAAGCCTTTTCACAACGAGGAGTCAAAGATTGAAACAGGTTCTCAGAAACACTGTGCAACTCCAATCCTTGGTGCTTTTCAAGACTAGACTGAATAAAGCCCTCAGCCACGTGGCCTGGGGCAGGCTTTAGGCAGGTGGCTGGAAAGAGGCCTCTCCAACCTGAATTAACCTGTGACCCTATGATGGACTAGGTGACTTACACGGCCCATCTTCAGTTGAATACACATGATTACAGGATTTTAGTATTTAGGGATTTATTTGTAAACATTCATGCTCCCACAAGTTGAGAAAAAGTAAAATTCAGCTTTTTGTTACTCCTGTACAGTAAGCTCAGTATTTACACCACACAACTCTCCTCCAGGAGTCTTGTCTTCATCTCCATCATGCTGCTGAGCTGCATGCACCTATTAGTGCCCCATGAAACTGCACTTACCACCATGACTGTGAAGCTAAACTCCTGTTTTACACTATTAAGCCTCTGCATTTAAACATGAATGTGGTGCATTAAGTATTTAAAAAAATGTATTTAGAGTCCTGTTTTTCTGACCTATTTCAACAGCCAACTTTCCAGATATTAACTTGGGTTTTGAGCTGTGACTCTTAGTTACACATAGAGACTTGTTTACCCCTTTAAACTCTTTTATTTCTGTTTCTGATACCAGTTTTTCCCAGCTCAAAGTTGAACAATTAGCTACATTTGAGCAATACCTTAGTTTTTCACTGAGGGGAGGTGGGGGGGTTTCTGACCTTATTTCTGCTGCATAGCTAGCAAAAATTACCTTCAGTACTTTTTGTCTTCTGAGAAACAATCAGAGGAAAGCAGATAAGAAAGTACTCTCAGCATGGCTTAATATGCATGGAACAAGCATTAAGTCCAAAGGTCAACTCAGCTTTGCATTCACATCATGGGCAAATATACTCTCAAACTGACAATGTACAATGGAATAAACCTAGTGAATGGATTTACAGCAGAAATATGGGGGTCTTGAGATAAAATCCTTTAATTTAGTATTAAATTTGGTTCCACTGGAAAAAATTTCAAGAGACATCCGTTCTTATTAGGTATCAAAACAACTGACCAGATTTTCCAAAAATCGGTAACTCCTCATTGCTGAAGTCACCTGAACAAAACGGTTCCAGTTGGCACCTTTTGTGACAGCAGAAAATATGACACTACTGCAAGGATTCGAAGATATGGCATTAGTATTAATATCTCAGTAACTGCAGTAAATCTAATGGGTTGCATATAACATCCAATGAGTTCCTAAACCTTAGAGAATTTTTAAGGAGGCAAAGAGGGGCTTAGGACTACATTTTGTTCTCAGATCCTTTTAGTTCCATCAGTTTCAGGATGCTAAGGAAGACTGGGTTAAATACTTTTTATTAGTTCTTATCTTTTGTATGTCTGCAACAGTCTTTGAAATGATGATTTTGATGAAGCACTTCACCACAAAGACTAAAAGGAGAAGTACAGGTGTGTATATACACACATTTTAGGCTATTGCACACGATGGCCAATTTTCCTCTAACCTATAGTACACTGATAGCACAACATTTTCTTAAAGATCACATGCTTCATCCACAATCACAGGGACATAAAAAGAGTAGTACTGAAGGCAAGGGCCTTTATATGCAGAGCTGTTCCCTTAACTGGAATAAAAAATATCATTACAATTCATGAAACGTAACAGTTGGAAAAACCACGCTGCACATTGACTGGAAACCAATGCAGCCAGAATAGCCTACAGCTCGTTATGCCAGGGGACTGGTCTGACATCTAGCAGGACAAAGGCAATGCACAGTAATCTTTATCACACCTTTGTTCCTCTTCCTGAATTTGCATTGCACATTCCTCAGTTGTGGCCAAGGATCAGTGCCAAGATCTCTGTAATGAATCAGTGGAATTGGCTTCAGGGGAGCAGATGAAGCAAAATAAAACAAAAGTACACAAACCAATTGCCTTGAAATAGTCAACAAGGAATCAAACTGATGAATGCTGATGGTGAGCCAAGTCCTGCCTGTCCTTCTCAGGTAAGCAAATTCCCCATGGAACTGGAGCCAAAGCCCCCTTCCACTATCACCTATGGCACAGCTTACAAAAGTTTAAAGACAACTAGAACTGTAAAGCATAAATACTTCCTGAACATCCCTCTCACACACCCTTTGAAAGTGAAAGGAAAAAAAAATCTAGAAATAGCAATCTTTAGGTCACCCATCTTCATTACAATTCAGGGCTTGATGACACGGTGTATCACAACAGTGTTTCCCACACCAGGCAGCACAAGAGACAGCTGCTGCTCATGGCTGAGAGCACTACCCTCCAACACAGCTCACTATTGCCACTCAGTCTGCTCATAGCCCTCAAAATGTTTCCTAACATCAAAACCACAACAATGGGACATTTTATTAAAAATTTATCGTGGGTATCACTCCCTCCTTTTATGTACCATGGTCACAAAATAATCTTAGCGTTTAGATTTATCCTCCTCTAATCACATGCAGTATTTCCTCCTCCACACAAAAAAACCAAAAACCTTCCCAACAGTGGACTGTTAGACCTTTTTTAGTAACAAACAAAAATACAGCCACTAAATATAAAAATTATTACAATGTACAAACATCAGTAAATACAAAACAAATAATCTACAAAGGACATTAACCTCAGTGTGGTATTCACCTGATCATTGGTGTAAGTGCCAGGACTGATAAATGGAGGGACACAGTAACCAATTAATAAGGTGTGTGCACTTCCCCTAACTTACCTCTTTCCAGATTAATTCAGGTCTTCATTTTAGAAAAACAAAACAAGGAAACTGACTACTTGTTTTAAGACCAAGACTATGGAGCAGTAACATGCAAAACTCATGTGAACAGTTAGAAAGAATGATCTTGTTACAATTATTATTCAAGATTCATACTAGTTTCTGGAAGCCCCAAATACTATGAATTCAAGGAAAAAATGTGTACTACTACTAAAAACTATAATACAATACTACAGTATATATACACTAGAAATAACACAAATGGAACCAGGTTTATGCCTGTTTCTCATCATGACAACAGGCATTGGCAAGACCAGTAACAAAACCACTGTCATAGGCAAGGACCTCAATCTGATGTCTGGGGAAAACAAGAAGGAAATAGGTGTGAAACACATGCTACATGTTTTCAGAAATCATTTCTACATGATATTCATTCCTAAGGAGCACTGTATGGAAGGATAAATTCTTGCTCAGGAGTAGATTTGATCTTGCCAATTATTCCTCAGTCTTTATTTATCCTGAACACCTTTCCAGGAATTGGTTGTCTAGAGAAATCAAACCAAAGCACAAAAGGAGCAGTCCCTTCTCTTCCATTCTTAATGTCCTTATTAGATCTGTTTTACCAAACAATCAACACACTAATTCATTTCCATAGCATCTTTCTCGGCTGTGCTGCACACTTCAGGTAATTGCAGGGCATATTCTACATGTGCTAAGCCTCCAATTCAAGCATACACATTATTTTATTCCTGCCTTCTGAAAAAAGTGTTGGGTTTTTGTTGTCTGTTTTTTGTAAACAAAAATTTCCTCAAGGACAAGTACAAGTAAGCTAAACCAACACGCAAGACTGAAGCTCAGGCATTATGCACTGCAGCAGTCCATTACAAGAACAAATTTAAATATTATATGCATTAGCCTCTGTATTAATAAATCTAAGGAAGCTTTCAGATGGAGCCAGCTTTGATCTTACCTGTCCTGTACCCTGTGTTGTTGAGGTACACCGCGAACGTACGTATTTCATGCTGAGCCTGCCAGGACGGAGAAGAACAGTTCTCGTTGTTCGTGTAGGTGTTGTGGTTGTGGACGTACTTGCCCGTGAGAATGGAGGAGCGAGATGGGCAGCACATGGGTGTGGTCACAAAGGCATTGATGAAATGAGCACCTCCATGTTCCATGATGCGTCTTGTTTTATTCATCACTTGCATAGAACCTGGAAGAAGAACAACATTTCAGAATTATCTTCTTGTTGAAGTCACAAGAGCCACGTAAGAGCTCATGTTACAACCAAGACCCGAATAAAGCACAAGTAGTAAGGCCACTGTAACCTCAGAGTGAACCCAAATCCAAAGATTTTTCTCCTGCCCCAGTGAAATTCTTCCACTGTTTCAGTAAGGACCAAATACTGAAGTCCTAAGTCAAGACTTGACTCAAGCCTGTTGACATAGATCGTAATGCTTCTTTAATTTCTAAGTTCAAGATTTACCACTGCAACTACCTACACAACCACTGCAGCCTTCCTGGAGCTGCTCGCACTGTTCCAGCAGCTGGGGGTGAAACTCGCGCTGCGCAGCAACCCTGACCAAAGCTTGCACACTCCTGAAACGTTCCTTAATCCTCGTTTCACAGGGTACCTCATGCACTGCCTTTCATGTCAACCCTATGCAAAAGGATGAGGGTTGTAACCACAGGATCACTGAGGACGGAAGAATATTTAGTCCAACCTACTGCTCAAGCAGGGTCTGCTAGTTGTTCTCTAGAGAAATTGTTCTTTTCCCTAATGTGAGGTAATTCCCACTAAACCAAAGACAAGAGAAAGCCCTCATAATAATTCCCAGAGAAACAAGAAATTTAGCTCCCCTGTGCTATCAGTGCCTGATATTTAAAACTGCACCAGAGCGAGTTAGGAAAAATTTTCTTGACTTAGGAAGAATTTCCATTTTCCAGAGAACTTGTAATGGTACCTGCCATCAGTATGGCCTTGCAAAGGAGAGTAAACCTGTCTGTAACCAACCCTCCCTTCTTGTTTTGAGCAGGGAAAGTCGATAGACAACATGGAGATGAAGGTATGGATGGGCTCATGCTAGCTCAGCTTTAACCGACGCGTCCTGCAAACACCTGGCACATACTAGGTCGTTTCTGTCAATAATGGGTTCAGGTTTCTTCTAAGCTCTTTAGGCAGGGATTTCATTGCAAAATTGCAACAGTAAGTGAACTGAGGGAGGGCACACTGATATTACCAGGAGCCAAAACCTTGGGGGCAAATGGTCATAAGCCACATATGAAATCTGACTCTCTGGCACCAAGAAGGAAGGTTAATTGCTACTGTAGGTCATTTTACCTATAAATTGCCATGGTATTAGTTCACTTGAGATAATTTTGTTAGAACAATTATTTTAAAAAATAAATTAAAAATCCACTTGTGCATTTCTCAGGTCAGAGCACATCTCTAGCACATCACTTTGTGACAAGAACAAAGGCAGGTTATTGTACTGCCCTCTGAGAACTTGCTGAACTTTACACAACAAAAAGGAGTTTCTGAAGAGAGCAAGATTTTTTTTTTGCTTGCTTCCATAATTGTGGGATAAAGAGTAACTGCTTAAAGGTACTAACAACACAGCTAACAATTGCAACAGTCAATTACACATTACATGAGCCTGAAAACTGTGGATGTTTCACCCGTGTTGTCTTATGATCTAGCCCAAGCATAAACAGGCAGACCGAAAGAAGGTTTTGTCATCTCAATATTGAAATCTATTTAACAACCCCTTTAAATGACAAAGGCATCTGTGCATCAAGAACAGCACACGTTAAGACTCCCCTTGGGGAGAGTAACCTCCTTTAATAAAACTTCTGTAATGACAAGGTCCTATATATCAACAGTCTTTAACACAAAAACATATGATCTGATCTGCTTCTCCAGCCTGAGAACTAATACAGAGTGACAGATCAGTGGAAGGTAAAAATCCAGCATACTCTTCTGTACAATCTTAAGTAGGCCATCTTTAAATATTTCAAACAGCATTAAACCAGCTAATCAAATTTTCTTCAGCTTGCCTACAATGCAAAGAAATGTGAGGAAAAGTAGAAACTGCTCATTCTGTGGCAGAATAGGTATGTGTTAATCAGCAGCTGGAACCTAAACACATCACCTTTTGAGCTGGAAAATCTTCCGAGGTTCCATTAGTGGATATACCAAAGGAAGAAATTTCAGTATCCCATTCAGAAAATGTTCTGTTACCTGTCTAAAATAATTGATAATAAATGCAAATTTAACAGTTAAATGTGAACCTACCATACTATTTACAAAAATATCCATTGCACTACTGTGAAAATATGAAAGTTTAATCAATTTGTTGCATTAAAGCTGTTCACTGAACAAAGTGAAGCAAAATAAGTTGAAATCCCACTTGAAATTTGTATGCTATCCATAGCTTTGCTTGGTGTATCTTCACTGATCACTTCAGGGATAAAGTTGATATTTTGACTAACATTTAGGGAGAAAATATACCAATTATTTATGAAATAATACAAAATTCCTCATTAGCTGCATTTTGTTGTCAGAGGAAATAATTTCCATGTTTTAGGGAGCTCCAACTGTTGAAGAACCAAGTCCCAAGTGATTTGTCTACTCTGAAGCACAAATTAGGAAGTGATATCCACACACAGACAAGTTAAGTGAACCCCAGAATACTGATTAACTGTGCCCTAAAGCCTTCTTATTTTATTCTATTTGAACTTCATTAGACATTCTTCTCATATTTTCATTTCCTTTTTTTCCTCATACTTAATTTTAATGAAGCTCTAAAGTCCCAATCTCCATCCATGATAACTAAGAAAAATTGTTTGTCTTCCATACCATTTTTGCAGTTTTTCAGAGGAAGACCTAGGAACATACAAATAACCTCACTCAGATTTCTCTCACGTGGCTGAAATACCTTCTGAATAATCAGAGCTTTGTGCAACTAGCAGATCATGAAATAAGCTGGTTTGTTAAAACCACAGCAATATGGTAGGCTAACCTAATTAAACTGGAGATGTTGAGTCCATCACAGGGTCGGGACATTAGCATTATACCAACTTGGATTTAAATGGGTCTAATGGGTGAAAAAAGGTCTTTGCTTTTAATAATTCTTTCTCCTTGTCAGCATATCCCTCTTCTTTATATTGCACTTCTCAATGTAACTTTTTTGATCAGACAGTCAACGAAGGATGCATGTTTCAGCAGTTCTTGGTGTTCTCATTTGTCTTCTCCCATTTGTATCCATTACAATTTATACTCATTCTCCTTTGACCTGGAGATTCTGTATCCTATTCATCAGCCTTTTCCTTTTTTCAATACATGGCTGAGGTTTGGTTGCCCAAGTAAAATTCAGAACTAACAGTAATGCAAATTTTAAAAACGAAGTTGTTGTACTCCTTTCCTGAAAGGACTACATTCCCTTTCTGGTAAACTCCATCTGCTACTGATGTATTGTCAAAACTATCTTGAAATAAATAAAGGCTGTTCAGGGCACTTGAGATTGTGTTGCATTCCTTTTCGCCTCAGAAGTACCTACAAAAGAACAATGGAAACTACAATACCCATCAGTTACAGAATATTCTCGGATGAAATCTTAGTTATGCACAGCTTTCTCTGCTATACTTTCACAGCTTCCAAATTCTCCTTCGCATTTATTTGTAAGTTGCACCTTGTTTTCATCTTTCTTAAATGCACTAACCACAACAGCCACAAATAGCAATTTTGATTAACTTGGACAGCTCACCAGACAATAGACAAGAACAAAAATTAATTCAAACAAATATTAGGGCTCCCAAAGCCACGAGTGTCAAATGATTAATATCAAATCTCAGCTTCAACAAATGGATTTTCCTTAGTTAGATCCTAATTTATGTGGACACACACCCATTATCCTCAAAATTGGAAAGCATCAGATTACCCGAGAAGTGAAATATACCGCCCACTGGACTTAGAAACACAAAGGCTAGCCTAAAATAGATGATCATAAATTTTTTAGGACCACCTTCTGAGCCTTCGAGATTACGTACTTAGGTTCTTTGTATATACATGTGCTGGTTTGGGCTGAAGTAGAGTTAACTCTCTTCCCAGTGGCTAGTGTGGAGCTAGGTTTGGGATTTGTGCAGAACACAGAGTTGATAATGCAGAGATGTTTTTGTTATTGCTGAGCAGAGCTCACACAGAGCCAAGGCCTTTGCTGTTTTCCATACTGCCACACTGGCAAGGGAGTTGGGGGTGCATGGGAGACTGGGAGGAGACACAGCTGGGACAGGTGACCCAAACTGACCCAAGGGATATTCCATACCATAGCACATCATGCTCAGTATATAAGGTGGGAGGAAGAAGGAGGAAGGGGGGACATCTGGAGTGATGGCGTCTGTCTTCCCAAGGAACCGTTACGTGTGATGGGCCTTGCTCTCCTGGAGGTGCTGAACACCTCCTGCCCATGCAAAGCAGTGAACTGATTCCTTGTTTTGCTTTGCTTGTGAGTGCAGCTTTTGCTTTCTCTCTTAAACTGTCTTTATCTCAATTCATGAGCTTTTCTAGCTTTTACCCATCCTGTTGGTGGGGCAGTGTGTGAGCGGCTGCGTGGTTCTGGGTTGCTGCTGGGGTTAAACCGCAACAATGCATTATTGAAATCAATTCATTTCAAATATGTTTGTCCCAAATAGCCATTAAGAAAAAAGTGACAACAGCAACAACAGCATTTGTATTTGCTGAGGGTTCTGCCAAAGCAGGATTTCTCACCACCTCAGAGCAGAATGTGGCATCTATGATACTGCAGACATGCAGTGGTACTGATACAAAGAGAGCATCTGTAAAAATACTGCCATGTTGCTGTGATTAACTTCTCAGCTAGATGAGAAAGTATATGAGTAATAAAAGTTGATTAATTTATGTTCTGTTTCTTCCGTGAGGTCCATTTTCTGATTTTTCCAATCCATCTAGAAACTTGATGCAGAAAACTTTAGTGGCCAAAAAAGCCAACAGACCACACATATGAGAGGTCTCATCTTTCAGATGACCCAGGCTTTATGTGCACTTAAAAGCATAATTCTAATGCAAAATTATTAACGTCAACTGGTTTGCGTTAATCACTTGTCATAGCTATAGACAACACTTGTTAAATACAAGCTTGTTCAGGTAACAGAACAAAACCCAAACCCTGTCAGTTAATTCATTATTCTGAATCATTAGGCAAAGCATGTGTTTAACCTTCATCTCCTGTCTTCAACAATTAACACAGTGTTGAATTACACAGTAGAACCTTTGCATTCTACGTCACTTTGGCCAGTAATTAATAACACCTCTAAATGGACAGTAACAAGACTAGTATGACTGTGTTGGGTAACATTTAAGTAATTAAAATTAAAATTGCATATGTAATGAATGCCTGCAATTACATTCAAAAATGGATAATTATATGGTGCAATAATCGGTTACGAATCAAAGCCTTTGGCATGTAGCATCCCAGGTTATACTTGTAATTGCTCCAAGCAGAGTTTAGGTGTTTAGATGACAACAGTTAGTTCGTATTTCCACAGAAACAGGAAGTTTAACATTTTGAGACTAACTTTTCCTGTCCTTGAATTTCATGCAGATGGAAAGCACATTTTACATAAAGGTAGATTTAGAATTGTTTTTCCTATTACTTTTCACACTAGAAAAAAACCATTATTTTGAACACAAGAATCCAGCTTCAAAGAAAAGCAGTGCCATACTCACTAGCTAAAATTCTCTTTACATTAGGCTCTTACCAAGTTCTACATCCTGATCATCAGTAAGAACAAGGATGATGTTTGGGCGGATGTTTCTACGGTCTCTCTGAAATCTTCCCTTCAGACGCTGATTTAACAGGAAAGCTGAACTTCCATCCAACAGTAATAAAACAATCACCATGAATAATCCAAGGACAACACTATGCTGTGCCATGTTGTGCTGATTTAATGTTCTCTCTGAACAAGGTAGGTTAATGGCTTCTATCTCCTTTTTGTTTGCAGGTCTCCTATAAGGGAGAGGGAAACAAGTATTTATCTATACTTTGACCCCTCTGCTCCCCTGAAGGAACAGAAAGGTTTTCGCCAAACAAGTAAAACGAAAAATACTTGAAATATAACTCCTAAGGAAAAAAAACCCAAAACAAACCCACAGACAACAAAGAACATGAATGTTTTTCTAGTGCCAGCTAGAAGCAGAAACTTGAAAAATTCAGTTCATAATCTGTTATCAATGTAGGCAACGAAGTTTACTTCAAGCTCAAATTTGGCAGCAAGTTCAAGGATTTAGCAAGGTATCAAGCTTTTGCTTTGATACATGTAAAGAGCAATCTTCTTCCTTCTTCTTCCTTATAGTTCTAGGATGTTTTCAGATGATGTTTTTGTTTCTTGCATCAAAGATGCAGATGGTGAAGAGAAAAAAATGCACATCTATCAATAATTTTAAACAGGACTGTACTAAAATTTACAGAGTTTACAAGATATTTGCAAAGTCAGAAAACCCTCAGAATAGAAGACTTGCTATACACTGACTTATCTTACGAATTTCATTAGAGAGCAGAGCTGCCCAGATCATGAAACTACAGTATGATACCAATTGAATTCTACTACAGCTTTGATGTTAGTGCAATATCCCTTCAGCATTTCTGCTGGTTTCCAAGATTTATTTTTAATATCATTACTTTAATAAACACATTTGAAGGCCCATTACAGCAACTGTTTGGGAATGGATGAACTAAAGTGATTCGCACTGTCTATGACTTCTCTCTGTCATAAATGCAATGCCCCAAAATTGACTTGATTGCAAAACAAAGCACATTAACTGGTACTGCTCCTGTTAACAAGTAAATAAATTCTTAGCAATTCCAACAAAGAGACAGCAAGAAATGCCTAAGTGTGCTGAAGAATTTTTTAATCACAATTTGCTCAGTGATCTTCTAGTATAAAGAGATATTCTATTCCTTTCAGAAGTCAAAATAACAGCATGAAAATGTATTGAAAATATCAAGTACAATTATTTCACTAGATGCAGCAATGAATAAGTCAGTTTCTGATGAATTCCCTACTTGCTCCCTGCCTTTTCTTGGACTGATGTCAATGATCTCTTGTAAGAGAAGTGAAAAATCAATTAAAAATGCCACACGAGAGACTATCTGCTTTTTGTAAAGACCAGAAATGCCTGAGTAGAAAGAACCTAGCACAGTGTGTTTTACCCAAAGTAATATCTTAGCTATTCTGTCCCTAGAACCACTTGGGAAAATGGTTTTCTCTCCAGCAGATTATTTCATAGCCACATTATTACATCATCTCAGTCAGCGACTGTTCTTTGAGATAAACTTCGATTAACAAAGTTCTCATGCAATAGCAAAACCAGTGGTCTGAAAAATTATAGTCAGGTTCTGTGCTTATATAAGAAATGCATAGTGAATTTTCATATAAGTCAACAGATACGGAGCTACACCATGATGGAAAATTTATTAAGGCTGCTCTCCAAAATTGTAACCAATAGGTTTCAAAGAGATGAAAAAAACTCCTTCCACACTAGTCTATCCAGTGAGTTTGGCATGCAAGTGAAATTAACTTTTTTCATAGAAATTAAAAACTAACT